AGACCGGCTGGAAATAGTCAATCGATTTGACCTGCCATGACCTGATCTGGCCGATGTTTACAATAGTCCGGATTTAATCAGCGAAGAATACTTAATATTATAAGTCTGCACGAATCATTCGATGACGTCTCTCGGAGCAGGTATTTTAGCGCGATTCAATTCATCTTTATAACATACGAACTTTCACACGAAATTTTAGCTAAATATGTATGATAGTATATACGGTACAAATATCGCCAACCGCACCCCTGAGCGCCCGGCAGAGGTTTAGGTGGTTTTGATAATCTCGAAAGATTCTTCGTTTCTCGAAGAAAAAAAAAAAGACAGACTGTATTTTTCTAGATTAAGATCCACAGCACGTGTGACTGCATCAAGAGTGACTTAACTTACTGACAACTTTGTTATTAGTACAAGTGCGTCAATTTGAATTTATATTGCATTAGGAAAGTTAATTTTAGTATTGATTTCATCAATTTTATTAAGACAGCTTATGTTAATAAAAACATGAACGATTCTTTCAACTTTGTTTCTTCTTCTACTGATGGCCTTTTTGGCTAGTGTAGATTATTTGTCGTGAATTTAATGGTTATCGTGTCGTAAAATTAACATTCGCTGGTGAACTCGACCAATAGCGGAAGGAAAAGCGATATCTTATTTGTCGAATCTCGAATCTCGTTGTCGAAAATTAAAAAAAATAATGACTTAACTGGTGGAATTACGAAGCGATTCATGATGAACGTAGCGTAATATTTTGTTATAGTTCTAGATACAGTTATATATAGACATATGCAGAGAGAGATGTAAATGTACATAATGTTCTTTTCGTAATAAAAATTATTGAAAAACATATTTTTCTCTGGTTTTTAGGAAAATTTACCCACAGATAAATAGTTTCCTCTACAGATTTCTTTTAAAATATTATTAGCATTAATTGCTCAATAATTTATACATTTACTTTAAGATAATATGCATTATCAACGAAGTCAATAAAATTATTAATGTTTCTGGTATGATGACGTATATTTCTGACAAAGACGAATGCGTATCCTATTTCTAGATCTGAATGGAACTAGCTTTCGTCGAAGAAACGAAACGAGGCTATATATATTTAGCTCTCGATCAAATAAACGTTTGTCATCCGTTAATAATGTAATTGCCATTTATTAAACACAATTCATTTTCCAAAAGAGTTTATTAAAAGTACTTTGCGAAAAAATAGAACAATTGGAATGATTTAAAAGGCGTAAATTTCTATTTTAAATATCTATTGGAATATAATGCAAGTGTATCACATGTTGAATACTGTTTACCGGTTTTTCTGATTCAGATAGCCTTACATAAGCGATACCACCGTTCCGCATCTTTATCGGTTCCTAGAACTGATTTACACGTCAACACAAAGCTAGCTATCTGTTCGCGTTTTATTTCTTTCTTACTTATGGAGATTTATCGTGTCTCTGCAGTTGGAAGAATCTCCGAAAAAATTTAGAAAGATAAAATGCTATTTATAATTTCTTTTATATGTTCTATTATTATTTTTGCAAAATTTCTTTAGAAAGCACATTATGCACGAAATGATTCGTTAGATCTTATTTGATAATAAGTTACAAGGCGCAACAGATAAATTCACGTACAAACATTTTATACCTTGCAAGCGCATACCTTTTACTTCCTTTCTTTCTGCTTACTTTATTATATTAGCTAATATGAAAACATTTTCTCACCATGTCTCGTTTACTCGTAATCTCTAGAAAATTCGTTTCGCTTACATGTTGAAAATACACTTTCACATTTTCCATCCGAGATACAAGAGAGAGAAATAACATTACTTATTTTAACCTTTTGCCCGAGTTATCATCGCAGACCTTATTCTCGGAGAACGCTCAGATATAGGCTTTTGCAGCGAAATCAAGAACGAAAACATACTTTAGACTCGTGCATGCACGGTCGTCGTTTTAATCTTTTTTAACTCGATAATTCTTCTGGGCTATCAAATCTTTTACTGCCGCCCGCTAGTCTAGAATCCATATTACTGAACGAGCATTATACTACTTCAACTCAATATTCAAGCAAAATTTACATAGCGTTTTAATCTTTGCAATAATTTTGTGTTGAACAATTAGCTGACATATTTTAATGAATCAAGTATATCGCCTACACAGACACAGTTTTTGATAAAAGTCAAGTTTTTTTTAAAGTTGAGAAACATAGTTACAATCTATATAAATAAAATAAAATCAAAATAAAATAAAAAAACCATATATATAATTATGAAATAGTCAACATTATCGAATGCAACCAAATAAATTTCGTAAACTGCGATAAATTGAAAACAGAAACACATTTCTTATCTGGACTAGAATTTTATTACAAAGAAAAAAATATTTAATATTAAATAAAAGAATCATTTGATGTTAAATAATAATATGTTTATCTATATGTTAAAATATAATTGTCATTCGCGAGAGAATTCATGATATAAGCAGATAGTTAGTATCGTAATATGTTTTGGAAATATCGTTGACAGGTAGACGTGTTGCAATGGTTATGAAGATACTCACGTCATCTTATCTACTTGTACGAATATACTAAATGGTCATGTTCAATTATCCTCTTGTGAGTCTTCTCGCGAAGATTAGAAGTGCTCACGTATTAACGACCTTCGCGCAAGGATACACGATCACGCTTAGTCACTTTAAATTGAGTGTGAAAAGAGATGAATTATAAGAAATTGAGAGAAATTTATTTCAGGAAATTTCGAATTAATATATTTGAAATTAAAAATTTTATAAAAATATAATATAAAACAAGAATTTATGAAATAAATTTGGAAATATCTAGATTTTTATCGCTTTTTACGCAATACTGTAATTTTTTTTTTTTTTGAGTTTATAACTTTAACTGTATCATGTTCATTCGCGATATTGCGTTAATATTTGCACATCAGAATGCAATGCCGATGTAAGCATGCGATTTTTATGCTCGAGGCGTCTCGAAATAGAACCGGAAAACCGCATACAGATCATTTATGTATGCGTGAGCGATCGATCCTTCGAAGCCTACAGGGATAAAACCTCGCTCTCAAAATTCAGTATTTCTCGGAGGACAAACATATACAGTGTCCCAGATAGGATCTGTTATGAGCATGTATACTCTTCTTTTTTCGTCAAAAATATATTAAAGCCAAATTTCATGCATAATTCCAATGCATTTATTCATAAGTTTTATGAATAAATTTCATGAAGGAATGTATTAGAAAGCGAAAAATCAAATACATTCCTTAGAGAAAAAATATCAACAATCCCTGAGCTAATTTTCCGATTATCGCTTAATTTGCAAGAAATATGTGATAATTGTGAATAATACTGATATTATATTTGTTTATGTCATCTCTCGTGCTGACATTTTTCACAACCTTCGACCTTGGAGATTTGGTGTGAGTGAGTTTCGATTGCTCATCTGGCGAGTTCTCACGTCGCACCTCGATGTTGTGTATATACATCATACATATTGTTCACATGTGTATATATACCAATACGGACAGAGAAACTCACTTATGAGCAATCATAAGTCTGACGTAATATTGGCTGGACCCCACTACTCGAACTGAAGATCGGATCGAGGTTTCAAAGTCCCTGACGAGGAGCAACAGTGCGTCAGTACGTTTCTTTCGTTACTGAAGGTAAGATGGCAAATATATCTGAAATAATAAAATACTAGGTGAAAGACATAAATGTTGAGAACGCGATGGTACTAAAGAAAAACATTAAAGATTGCAAATAATAAATTATTAAGCCAAAAAGTAAAAACTAACATATTAAATGTGTAAAAAATATTTAAAGTAATAAGAAATTAAATTTATAAAAAATTGTAATATGTTAATCATTTTTATAACCGCGCCACCGTTTAATTTTTTAGACATTTTTGTGTTAAACTGTAATCGTGATTATAGTGTTGCTTTTGTTGAAATATTTGCTTCCGGAGAAACTAGAACAGATAAAGTGTAACTACATTAGTTTAATAATCGTGAAGTAACATAAAGTCGATTTAATCTGTTCGGTTGATCGGATTAATTATGAACGCGGATTAATTATGCTTCCAGACAGCGAGGATGAAGACATTACTCTCCGTCGTTTTCGCGGTGCTCTGCATCCAGTCGGTGTTTGGCGTAGATCCTCACGAGCATAGTAAAGTGGTTTGTTATTGGAACAGTACCGCCTACGAGAGGCAAGGTGAGTCTCTATTAAATTATAATATATTCATTACTCATATTCATTCCGCGCAAGAACTTTGTTGAAGGTGTATTTTTGATTTTTTAAATTAAAAAGGAAAGCGATCTGAATTGCTCTTGGTGCAATTAAAATTTTCGCTTTTCATGAATTCGAATTTGATTGAGAATGTAATTGTATACATGAAAAATGGTTGTTAATTATTAAATTTAAAAACGTTTTTTAACTTTAAGGAAATTATATTGAAATCTTCCTTTCAGTTATGTAATATTTCCTATTTTAGTGAAACGTCTGAAACCAATAACGTACATCTTTGACTTATATTTACTTAGAAGTTTTTGTGTGTTTAACATTTGTGACGCTTGTGTTTGTGTTGGAGTTAAACGCGTGAATAGAAATGTAAATCTACAGATATTTCGTGGCGATTGTACGACGGCATAAATTCTAAATGTAAAACTTCACATTCTGTGTCTATTTTATCTTGTTTAAAATATTTTTATTGAAATTAATTTTGGTATGAAATGTATGTGTAATGCAATTTTTATTTTACCTTCAAAAATAGGTCAAGCACAATTCCAACTTGAAGACGTTAGAAATGCTTTGTCTCTTTGCACTCATCTGATCTATGGATATGCTCACATCAATTCTGATTATGAGATTGTTCCTGGCTCGCCAAATTTGGATACCGGATCGGGCCACTCTTACTACCGACTTGCTACGCAACTGAAGCGATCGTTTCCCGATTTGAAGATCTATCTGAGCGTGGGAGGAAACTCCGATCCTTACGACGAGGAACATAAATATCTTGTGTTGGTGAGTGCGATATTACGATTTTATTAATTTTTTTTCCAATTCTAAAATAAAATAAAAATAATTAAATCTGACTGACATAGAATAAAATTATAGGAAAATAATAAAATAATAAAAAGTTGAATAAAGTGATAAAAATTTCTGATTGACAGACCGAAACTTCGGAAGGCAGGACAAAGTTCATCAACTCCGTGAGTCGCCTGTTGAATGATTACGACTTCGATGGAATCGATTTGGCGTGGCAATTCCCTCCAATCAAGGTCAAGAAGCAGCGTAGCGCTCTTGGTTCCTTCTGGCAAGGTCTCAAGAAAAGGTTGGGCTATGGAAAATTCAAGGACGAGAAAGAGCAGGAGCATCGCGACGGTTTCACCATTCTGGTCCGTGATCTGAAGACGCAACTTAGACCGAGATTCAAATCTCTGACCGTCACAGTGTTGCCTCACATTAACTCCAGTGGTAAATGCTAATAATAAAATTAATAATGTTAGTTACAATAAAGCGTGTACATTTGGCTCTTATGCCTGTAATTGCTTACATTTAATTAGAATTACATTTAATTAATAATTTTTATTAATTGTTTCAAATATTCTTGTATTAACTGCAACATTGTAGTATTATAATTTTTTTAGTGTATTACGATGCCAGATTATTATCGCCCAACGTCGATGCTGTGCATCTGTTCGCCTTTGATCAGAAAACACCGGAACGCAACGCGAAGGAAGCCGATTTCCCTGCGCCAGTTTACGGCAGCTACGGACGTGGGGTGGACGAAAATATTGATGCTGCAACCAGGTAAACCAATTTCTTTCTCATCATGTATTCATTATGTTCATTATCTTCACAAAATATACTGTAGCATGCATAACATTTGTAACATAATTAATTTATGACAGTTACCGACATGTGGGAGATGACAATATTGATGCTGCAGCAAGGTAAACTTGTCTTTCTCCTGCACTGTATTCATTGTTTTTCTATCTTCGCAAAATATATTTTAACATGCAAAGTATAGAGCACGCTGTCTAGTAAAATTTACTTTCCTTTTTGTTATTTATCGACTTTTTAATATTCTCTCAAAGTAAAAACTACTTTCTCATTATGCATAATTTATGAATTGAATAAATTATTATGCATAATTTATTCTTCTCAGCGAATCGATTACTGCTTCCAATCATATTGTACATTAACATTTATAAATATTCATTAATGTTCATTAATAATAATAAAATTACTACATTTCGGAGACTAAGCAACTAAGTTTACGTTTACGTAAACATTTTTTCTTATTTCCGTACGTTCTAAAATTCGCTTGTTAAAATCAGAAGCATCATGTATGTAACACATACGTTTTTTTAATATAAATAAAAATAAAGTAAAAATAATTAATGATTTACAGATACTGGTTGGAGAACGGTACTCCCGGTACTAAAGTTGTCGTCGGTATCCCCACATATGCTCGTACGTGGAAATTGACAGATGAAAGTCAGATTTCCGGTGTACCGCCCATCGTGACTGACGGTCCGGGTGCCCCAGGACCTCACACCAACGAACCGGGATTGTTATCGTATGCAGAGGTGTGCACCAAATTGACCGAGCACGCGGTTGGACGACTTCGACGCGTCAGTGACCCGTCGAAGAAATACGGCAGTTACGCTTATCAGTCCTACAACGCCGACACTGGGGCGGAGGGAATCTGGGCGGGTTACGAGGATCCAGATACCGCCGGCAACAAGGCTGCGTTCGTGAAATCGAAGGGACTCGGCGGTGTAGCGATCGTCGATTTGTCCTTAGATGATTTCCGTGGTATTTGCACCGGAGACAAGTATCCTATCGTCAGAGGAGCTAAATACAAGCTGTAAAGATGAGCGAAAATCGATCGGATAGTCGAATTTTGTATTAATATTCGAATGAAAGAATTTTGTTTGTTTTAATAAGTATCTCGTACGATAGTCGCTGAAAGCTGTATTTTTATGTATTGTCCGATGAATAAACTGTCGAGGTTTTTCATGAAATTGAGAGAGAACTTTTAACGAGAAAATTTTAATGAAGTTGTAATGCTGTTTCGTATGCATTATCCGTGATGATAATTTTTAATCCCCAATTATTTTCGAGAGATAAGCTTACTCTGTAAAGAATAAGTGCTTTAAAATAAAGTTAATCTAAATATTCAATCTACATAGTCATCTATTGTGACGTTACTATTTATAAGATTGTTAACTATAAAATTGTAATTCCAAATAAATTTTAATTTCAATCAATATCTCAACATTAAATTACAACCTCCAGGATAAAAAAATCAGAGAAACACTATCACGAAAGGGATAAAAAGGACGAAAAGAGAAGAAGGAAAAGTACCAAAGAGATCCATGTACGATATATATATTTATATAGATAATATACTTTTCGTGCAGTCTATTTTTCCGGCCAAACAATATATTTGCACGGGTGTATAGCAAAGGTTCTCTTGTAAATAGACTAGACTCGTTAACATATCCAACATAGAGGATTACATCACATTGGATACAGATATTGATCCGCAACCATTCTCACGCCGATCGAATCAAACCTTCTCTCCCATTAATAAAATCATAATTTTAAAAAAAGGAAGATACACACATACAGTGACTCACCGATAAACTGGCGATTTGATTAACTATCGCGTTTGTTCGGCGGTCGTCTTATATCGATTGCTATCTCAATCATGCTGAACGCCGTACATTAGATCGCATTCTGTATCTCTCTTTCTCTCGCTCTCTCTTTTAAACTCGCCTAATATATACTCTTACAAAATACTGGGAGTTGTAGCTGAAACAGCTTTAAATCTCTACATTATAGTCAATAATTCGATAGATATACGTCAACGAAGGAAGGGCACTCGTGAGAATATAGTATAATGCAACGTATGATAAAACAACAGTTCTCTCGTCTAATAAAATAATCCTGCTCGATATATCTAAATCTATGATTATCTTACTTCAATTTGCAAATCCACGCGTGTTAGACCCGACAAAGTTTTCGTAAATGCTCTTTAAATGCGCGTGTTTCATTTCTCCGAAATCTCTCTTAGAATTTAAAAATGCCAATACAAATGACACATCTGAAATAACGAGAAAATAGTTTGTCATTTCAATAAGAGTTTGCAGAAATTTATAAAACTGTCTAGCTTTCATCCAACAATTGCACAATAATGATCGAAATCAACATAATGATTGTGTAAAAACTTTCATCGAAATTAGCTTGCTTTTATCGCGGTAGAATTCTTCAATCGATCGTACGATGTTAACGCGCAGTGTACTTGTGTAAACTCACTCTTCTTTCTCTCTCCCTCGTAACGATCGTTCGCGGACAGAGGATCACTTTATATATTATATGTACGTGGGTTGTCTACGATACGACGAGGGGGAGTGCGTCTCAAATCATCGCGCGTCACGAATTATACATCAAATCACACGCTTTTGTTTGTTACTTAATACTGGAACGTTCATTCAAATGCTTAGGTTTTATAGGCTTTAATGCAGTTGCGACGCTATATGGCACTTGGATTATGCGTGTACATACGTTGTAGGTACTTGCTGCTCTTCTCTGGACAATTGTTGTTGAGGAGACAACTCGAAGAGCTAAGCGAACGAAGGGGGTGTATTACATTAGCGAAAGTAACTCAGCAAATTTCTAAAAATAAATTATACAGTTGAAGCAACAACAGAGAAAGTAAACATTTTACTTTTTTTCTTTTTTAAGAATTATTTCTTTAAATATCATAAATGTGATACACTTCCTTCATCCGTTTTTCCTTCCCTTCGCAAAGCCATCGTGAATAATTTTCATCTGACAAAATAGTACCTCCAGTGTTTCTCGATATAAAAAATAATTCGGAGTGGTGCTGTCGCAAAACTTGGAAGGAGCTCGCGATATAAGCATCCGCGATGATCCCAGGCAGTTTAGTGGAATGAAATTAGTTTTACTTTCTCCCTCTCTCTCTCCTTTTTTTTTCAATCGTACACCTTTTGGTTCGCTTTCGCGCGGATGCGGGTACAAATGATTAATTAGTTCCGCTCGACTGTATGTTTGCGGACCTAAAGTGCATTCGACTTAAATGAAACGACGACGCGGTATTTTACACACCGAAATGTGACACGGTAATAACGACAAGTCATTCATCACTAAGTTTTTTTTTAATAAATCGCGACACTGACCACTTCGTCCTATAAAAGTGAAAACGTTTGATCAAAGCAATATAAGGGAAACATTGAATGTCAAAATATGTAACGGATCGGATACGCAGCTAGAAGATGATCTCTATCTCTAAACTGAGAGAAGGACTGAGAAGAATGCGAAACAAAAACATATTTTGTCTCTAAAGCGCTTTACGCGTTATCGAGGCCGCGACAGTCATCGAAGATGCTTCGAATCCTGCGAAATAAATTCTTGCTTTACTCGGCCGCGATTAATGCCCGAAAGCGGGATTCCAGATCAAAGTTCTACAGTGTTTCCCTAAGAAGTCTGTTACACGTCTTTTTTTTTCCTTTTTCCTTTTTTTCTTTTTTCCTAATCTCTACATGACGGAACATCGTTTGACGTTGTACCTATTATCTTGGTCCACATTATTAATGCTGAGTACCTTGAGGAGCCTCTCGGTGTCCTTAAAGCCGTGTCTGCTGCGCTGCTGCTGCTTCATCAGCATCATCGTCGCCGTCGCCGACGTCGTCTTTTTCTTCTTCTTCTTTTTCTTCTTCCGCTTCGTCTGGGGTAACGTCAGCTCCAGCATCTGTTCGAGCCGCAGGCGAATAGGCCAGCCGGCGCTTCCATCCTCGGCGTCCCGGTGATAGGCGTAACTCGACGTGTTAGGCTCTTGATCCCGATGCTCCCACCACCACGGATTTTTGTACGATCCCGCCTGTTGCTCTCGCTGCGGATCCTGACTGTGATCCTCGTCGGCCATCGGTCTTCTAGGCTGCACGAAGGAATCGTGCACGCGAACTGGTCGAGCCAGCGAAGACCTTTTCTTGACCGGCGTAAGATAACCGACGGACTGATACTTGGTCAGGGTTTTGCTCAAGTTACTTCTGGTGGTCCGAATCTTCCTGACTTCTTCAAGCGGAGACATGGGCATCTCTTTGTCGTATAACGTTATGTTCGACGCGGGCAGGCGATGACTACTGCGAATTCGATTGACGACGAGAGCACCGCTCTCGTTTTTGCTGCTGCCGTTGTTGTTGTTAATGTAAATGTTGTTGTTGCCGCTGCTGCTGGGGTTGTTGTCCACGTGACGACACTGCTCGGCGCACTGCAGGCAATCGTAATACTTCTCGGCAACGTGACGACGTGCTGAGAAGCGATCGCGCAGATCAGCGTACCGGCGACGCTCGTTGCTCACGATCGCGCTACTACTTCGTATACCCTGATGGTGATAAGGCTGCTGTCACACCTCCTGCAGGTATTTGAGGGGACAGAGGATCTCCTTGTACAAAACGTCGCCCTCTTTGCCCGTGTGATCAGCGGAACGCACGTCCGCTGCGCATCTCACCATCGCCACACCGTCCATCTCCTCGCCCACTTGGATTACGATCTAAGTACACAGACAAGACATAATAAAACAAAAGCATCAAACTTTTATTCGCGTTAGAATTGTCCGATATTTATTATTTAAATAAAAATAAATATGAGTATACATAGAATTAAACAGGTATGCATAAATACCTGATCTCGTAGCAAGGTTTGATCAGCTAGCTGCAGGTTACGCGTAACTTGAAGAGTCCTTTGACCTGATTCAACTCGCATAACATATGCACTTGGGAAATAACCTGCACGACCACCAAGACACTTGCCTTTCCACCAATCCTTCTCCGATTTATCAATCACCGTAATTTTGTAACCGGCTCTATAATTAAACAATGTGTGCTTATGTTAGATAAATTTACACATTATGCATGAAATGATATGTCACTTATCATTCTAAAAAATTTGTTATGAACAATAATTTATTTAATAATAATACACGACGATCAACGATGCTATTAATATTTTTATATTTTATTGTTTATTTTATTTACTTATTGGTTATGTTATTTTACTTTAATACATATTTGAATTATGTAGTGCAAAAACCGCACAAGTATCTGCTCTGAAGATTGTCGTGCATTATTTGCGTTACATTATGTTAAATTCACTTTTTACCGTATCATTTTGTCGTTCAAAATATAATATTCATACTCGAAAACTCAACGCAACTGCTATGTTTACAATTAGTAAAAACATTCGTACAGTACGTATTTCGTAGAATTTCTCTTCCTAGAAAATCCCGGCACGAGCTCAGGCAGGCTGCAGCTATGGTGGAAGGGATAAAGGGTGTGAGACATTCGATAGTTTTGTCTCACACTCATGACAATTCCTAACCAATCCGTGTTCAAAACCCCTTCCCTAATCCGTGTTGATCCGTCGATCCGTGCATTCTGCTTGCGTGATAGTCAGTTCGCTTAGTTGCTTGCGTGATATTAAAATTAAATTGCAATTGAATTCGCGTTTCTCACGTTGTTTACATATAAAAAGTGAATTCTATGTACAAAAGAATTTAGTGAGCAATTGCGATTGGTTAATCGGCGAGTATATAATTAAATATGCCTCTCTAGATCTTGTAACTTTTTCATCTCGAATTTCTTTTCCTTAAAAATTTCTAGTACGAACACACTATTAGCGTTTTCG